CCTTTGATTAGCAGATTGTTTTAATTTTAAAAGCCAGTTTTAACCTTCAGTTTGCTTGACAGGTGTTCCATATGAGTCATAAAAGTGAGTCTGGTATCCAGCCAGAGTCCCAAATATTTATAACATTCAACAATGTACAACAGTTTCAACTGAAGAACACGGAAGTGGTTGGATATGGGCAGTAGGCCGGCTAATCTGAGGTGATCATTAGTCATGAGATAGAGTTAGAATCATGGTCAACATGAAAGACAAAAGGGAAAAACTGGATGTAATGGGCAGTAAAGAGATGACAGAGAGACTGGCTTCCCCCATGTGGAGAGAAAAAGTAAACACATAGTACAGCAAAGAGTGTACAGCAAAATGGCTACAGCTAATTTAAGTAAGTACATAGTTTATGCTGCACACTTTTTAAAAGGTTCCTGGCTTCATAGTGATTAGGACTGCTAAAGGTATCACATTTCATCAAGCAGTGATTTGTCAGCCTTAAAAATACCTGTCAAATACAGATTGACATCTAAAAATAAAAGTCAACACTAGCAGCCTGGGACACCATGCTGATGTGACTGGGTGTTAAACATCAGTCATATTTAGTACTTACTGAAAACCACCAAGTATGAGAAGCTGTCATTCACTGTAAGGTGGCATCAAATGGTGGTCAGATTCCAGTCATGGTAACTTTAATTAGATCTTTACTGAATACTGATGCCAAGACTATTAGTCAGCTGAAGTCCTTGTGTGACTGCTTGTGTTTTAACTGTGTGAGAAAAATGTCAAGTGAAAAATCATGATGGCATCTGTACTGAAACTCATGTATGTTGTCTGTACTAGTGTCATAGAAATTGAAGCAATACTTAGCCCAAGCAGAGGACATTTCAGGTCAAGACTCATACTCAAAGGCAAAAATTGCACAGCTGATACAAATAAGCAAAACTACATTTATGAGATGCATCACAAACATATAAAGTGCCTTAAAGTTTTACCAAATGGCTCCCTTATTATGTAGAGATGTCACAAAATGTTGTGAAATTGCCATTCTTTGCGCACTGTGAATTAAGTGCCTTAATCTCTGCATTGCTTATATTCTTGCTGATGATCGTTCTCCAAGGAACTTACTGTATTTACATTTATATTTAGTATTATGAGGCATTTTGGCGCTGCTTTTACCTATTTGTCATTTCTGTTTGTAGAGAGAGACACTGGAGTACCCCGATCACGGCAGAGTAAACCCCCCAAAGCCTCAAAGCAAACATGGCGCTCCCAGCGGGTCAGGCCTGCACCAACACGGCAGCCCAGAGACGACAGTAAGGAGAGCAGACATCCTTTTGCTCTGTACGGTTCAGGAGAGAAGGATGCAGACATGGCAAGCAGGAAGACACACAACGTCGGCCCTGTAGCTTCAACCACTGAGGTAATCTTTCTGATCAACATGTAACAAGCTGTGGTGTGACTGAGCACAAGTGTCAACAGGAACTGGCAGTTTATAATGATGTTTGTTTTCTCGTAGATTCATGAGTCGGCTCTTCGGGCCAAGACCAGGCGGGAGGTGGAGCGTCAGATCCAGGCTCAGAGAACCGAGCGCCGGAGGGCCAAGTCTGCTGATGTGGACAAGTCCAGAAAGTTGGTTCAACCAGAATTCAACCCCTGGCTCACTGAGTACATGCGCTGCTTCTCTGCTCGCTCTCGATAGGACACACACGCACATACACACACTCGGCAGAAATATTTACATCAGGGTAATTCCAGACAAAAAGACAGAAATAAAGCCATTACTGCCTCCCACCCCTGAAGTTTAAATACCCACAGATGTAGACTAGAGCACGGGGTGGATTGATTCATACAAAGGCTCCAAAATGTGTATCACTCTCTCCTTCAGGATGTAAACTGACAAAACTTTGAAATTCACTGTGTGGCTTATTCCCCCAGATGTGTACTATCATGTGTTTTATATAAATCAGTTTTAATACAGTATACAATAAGAAGCATTTTACAGGGTTTAAGAGACTCTTGAACGAAGTGATTTGAAAGTAATTGTATAATTAACAGATTAATCTACCATATACAGATATTTTGGTTAGAATGAAGAGTCTAAAATATAGCCATACTTTGATGCACTCCCTTTAAACATGGTATATAAAATGTCTCCATGTTTTTTATACAGGGATTTTAAACCAGTGGACTCACGCAGGAGTATTGAAGGCACATGGCAGCATGTGTGAGTCGATTCAGCCACGTTCCTAAAAACACTTCTGAGATCAAACACGAAGAATGTACATACCTCTGTTGTATACACATATATACAAAACCAAACACACAGTTGTTTGTATTCCAAAAAGTTGTGCTAAGTGCAGCAAGATGGCCTAATCAGCTGAGAGTTTTCCTCATATGTTTGCAGCTTTCGATGTGGATAAGCATTTTCTTATTTGTGCTGAGTACAAAGTATCGATTGACTTACAGAAATATGTCTAGGAGTTTTACAGCTTTTGGTTTTCAGATCACTCAGTGCTCTGGACTAGTTCTTGTAGATTTACTGGTGTGTGTAACTGTTTATGGATTGATCCGAGCTGACTGGCTTTAGATTAATAGTGAATCACACACTCTCACAGTCAGACTCAAACTCTGTGTACAATCATAGCTGTGTCACTTGGCACATTTTTGCATGAGCTTTTTATGTGTGTGTGACTGCAGGGCTTGGATGAATGGTCAGACACCGACTGGCAGGTTTATTTTATTTCGACATCAAAGTACTTGCCTTTATGCCTCTCTGCACACAGCAGGCCTCCACTCCTTGTTATCTTCCTACCTGGCACCTACCTCTGCCAGCTCAGGTCAGCAGTTTGTCAGACCCAGCTTCATGGTGGTATTTAAAGGGAAATTTTATAACTTATTTTCAACCAGTTCTGTGTCATTGCGGAGTGTGCATTGTGTGCAAATGAATGTTCGGCTTCCCTTGGAAGCACCGTTTATTTACACAAACTGCATACACTGCGGTTTCCCTTTAAGTTTCCCTTTGAGCACATTATTGCAGCCTGCTTGGAAGATCAACAATTTGCAACCCACTCAAGGACACCTCGTGATGATCCCCTAACAACAACTCAAAGGGGGGACACCCTGTGGAGGCCTTGTGCACTAACTGTTGACTCTCTACTCTATGTTCTGTGTCGTCTTCTGTTGCTCTGCACCTTCCTCTGCCATCTCCTATATCAGTAGTGTGTCGGACTCAGCTTCACTGTGGTTATTTAAGCACATTATTGCTGTGTTACTGCAGCCTGCCTGGCAGATCAACAGTCAGACCAAATATTTAGAGGTGCGTCACCCCTCCCATGAGCCACTGTGCCCACTCTCCACCTGCAGCTAATGCTCAACCACACCCACGCTAAACAGTGTTTTTAACTTGAAATTGTTTCATAGTGACATTTGTGTTTGTTCTTTAGTTAATGTGTGTGTAAAGTAATCAGTCTACCAGGTGCTATCGCAGTGTGAGAATGATGTGTGTGACTTTAAAGCCATTGGATGACTGTGAACAGTATGTGGACACTGCAGTGTTTCTGTTACATACTCACTGGTCGTGGGACTCTTTCCAACAGAGAAATTGAATAGCAAAAAAGACATAAAGCTAATTTAGGTTATTTTCAAAGCATAACAATCAAATGTTGAGGCCAACTTCCATTATCATTGCTGTTACTAAATATGCTTTAGAACCAAAAGGGGAACCACAACAACAATGGACATTAAGCTGATGCCTAAATTACCTTTCGTGAGAAATACCTGAGTACATATTGCTGACTTACTGCTTACCGGTTAAGGCAGCATGCACTCTAAAGCAGGACCAAATGAAACAGCACTTTGACAGTTAGTCACCTTTCTGAAATAATACTTGTACAGAACATCTTGCTACCTATTTAGATTTTCATGTGTTTTGTTCATCTTTTGAATCTCTCCATATTTGTTTGTATGTGTGTATATTTTTAACATCAAACAAGGTTTTTTGTACTTACACAAGAAGTCAAAAATGGACTTTGAATCTGGTCTTTTTTATCATCAAGAAATAAGAAATCAGATCCTAGTTGTCACGATAAAATCAGCTCTGTGCCATAAAGACTTGAGAAACGTTTTTCTCCTCTGCACAACTAAAGTTATTGATGTGAATATTGTACAGAAAAAGGAGAGCTGTGCTTTTGACGTTTAAGTTTCTCTAGATCTTATGTTGTTGCAACTCTGAGTTCAGTATTACGTTTCTTGCTATTGATTTAGTTCTTTAGTGTTTTTAAGTTAAACTGTAATATAGTTCAAATGATGTGAGACTTTGTGCAATATTTAAATATTTGCATTTGAGCCAGTTTGTTTTTTAGATGTGGTAAACTTTGAGTCTCAGAAAGCAGGAGTGGAACAAGATAGTTATAATTCCTTTATAGTTAAAACTTTATAGTTAAGATTCTCTTAATACTGTACTTAGTCAGATTTTCTAGGTGTAATAGGTCATGTATAGAAGAAAGCCATCAAGCCTAAATATCCCTTTACACCAGGACAGTGTCATCCCACGTGATCATCCCACTCAAAAACTGAATCATGCATAATGAAGAGTGAAGAGGTTATAATCAGTGGGCACCAGAAGTACTGAAGTTCCAGCTGCTGACAAACTCAAGTGTAGAGTCTGGTTTTAGTGAAAAAGCTTCTGCTGTTCCTTCTGATATCAAATACAATTTAGGTTATCTCATTTCATAATGACATAAGGGATGTAACAATAACTAAATACTGTAAAACTTAGTGATACATTTTCATGTTTACATTTTAGGCTTTTAATATACAGTGCACATATTTTATATGGTTTAGCGGAAGACTGTTTAGGTTAAATGGTGTTTGTGCAAAGCTTTTAATAAATCACTTTTCCACTTATCTGTTCACTGTTCTCTGTTCATCTCTGCCAAATCATACTTATTATTTAGAAGGCTACAAAAACCTTTTAAAGAAAGACATGAATAATGCAACAGACCCACAAAAAGTGCTTTTCAAAGACAACATTATATTCGTAGTTTTTATTTTAAAAACATATGCTTTTATCATACACAATAAATTAAAAATCCATGATATTCATAATGATAAGAGAAAAATGGACGTCCATAAATAAACAAAGGACATGATGATGACATAGACACAAGAAGGCAACCTGATGTGGAGCAGAAGAAGCCGCTATCAGATGAATTCTTACATAAAATATCTCTACAGTTTGAAGTGTGCTTGATTCAAAAGTTTAATGCATAACTGTCAAGGGGCAAAAAGTAAAAAACATTTAGAAAAAAAAACCATGTAATGCTTGAACATACCTCTAAATCTAAATGTTCGAAAAATATTCCCAAGTTGAAGTGTTTTTGTGGAGAGCTCCATGTGGCTCAACTGAACATGAAGTATCTTTGGAGACAAATAAAAAACTTGACTTGAAATGCATTCAGTTAGTATCACCCCACAGCCGGCAGCCATCAGTGAGGTATTCATGTAAACAGGCATAGTTAATAAATGAGAGGGACCAGACGTATTCAGTCATAATGGGAATCCTTTGGATAAAGAAGTGCGTCACACTGATGAGACATGTAACTGAACAGTGAATGCTGAATGTGTCGTTGTAAATTAAAAGACGACATAACTTTCACACTCTTAACAATTTGAATTAACCAACATAAAGTCAAATGTATGCTCAGGATATTTCCGTTTTTAAGATCTATCAACGGTGATAAAACAGCATTTTTCCACATATATGTTCATAATGTCAGTTTGTCCCATTTACAAATAAACATAACTGCTGCAAACAGTACTGCCCATCTATACTGCTCACATGTCGCCAGTGTATTGTAGCTTAACATGATAATAATACAGTGGAGCATAAAACAGATACTGGATATGATATCTACTTTAATATACATATAATATCTCTTCATAATGAAATACTCTGCTATTCTGTCTGAGAAAACATGCGTCAGTCTCTATATACAGAAACACTGTACAGTGTATAAGATGCTGTAAGGAGATAGGGGGAGATTCACAGAGGCAGAGAGCTGCGGAAAGAGACAGGCAGGTGGACAGGTAAGCAGATGTGTGAACAGGTATCAGAGAATGGCGGGTTGCGAGCAATGGGTAGGGAAAGTCGGCTGATGAAGTGTTATTTGGCAGCTGCATTGCCTGGAGTAAGAAGGGATACAGGGAGTGCAAAATGTTGGGGGTGGTCAGTAGACTGTTAGTGGTGTGTTTTACACAGGTGAGCACAGCAGGAAGTTAACAGGCAATCAGACCAGGTGGATGGAGAAACAGAAGTACAATAGAGGTGGAGGGTATCAAATATGTATGTGGTTAAAGGAATAGCCCAACAATTGGTTTTGTAGCCAAGAGTTAAGCCTGATTTATGGTAGAACGCTTGATAATTTTGGTAAGTGTCGCTTGACAGAAATTAAACAATAACGTGTTGTTTGAAAGGTTTAAAGTCATCTCCATGATAACGAGAGACCCCCTGCATTTTTTTTCACGCCTTCAGTCTATTTCTGTCATGTTGAGTGAAGCCTAATTTGTACATTTGTCTGGGTTTAGCTTGGCATAAAAACTGGAAGAAGAGGGAACAGGCTAATCAGGCTAGCCCCAATATTCAAAAATCTACCTACCAATGCTTTTGAAGCTGACTAATTAACAAGTTATACCTTGTTGATGAACTGGGATGCAAAAGGAAAGACACTTCCCAAATGTAAACTTTTCCCTTAAGTAGTCCAGATGGAAGGTAGATGGAAGCAGTGATAAGCAAGAAAACTAAAACGCATTAAGTTGAGAGGTGAGAAAGAGAGAGCAAGAGAGGTTACATACATGTCAGTCATTCACACCCTGATTGGAGGGCTGGGGAGGGTTTGGTCCAATAGTGGAGCAGAATGTTGGAAGGTGGGCGGTCTATGGGTTCCTTGGAGATGCTCAGAGTTCTGAGAGGGGGTGTGGCTGGGAGGTCTTTTCAGCTCTCTGCAGGTGCAGCCATGACAACGAAGGTTCTGAGGATTCCGTGCGAAAGGTCAAAGGTCAGAGAGGAGTCATCAACATAGCAACCTGAACCCTGGGTCCCCTGTGGCTGTTCTTCTTCTGGTCTTCACAAACACATCTGAAACACACTAATTACATGCACACACACAGAGTCAGACATACCATATTATAACACAGCTATAAGCAGTCGTGTTGGGGTATTTTGTAAAGGTGTATCAACAATATGGACTTAAAGACCCAATGAGCAACTCTTCTCATTATTGGGGGAGGAACTGCAGAGGTATGACCTACTTCCTGTTTGCAAGCAAAAGGCTGGCCGAACCAATATAATGTAAATGAAGTGAATGTCATTAAAGGATAAGTCTGGTGATGTTCCATAATTTTTATTGTCACACACTAACACCCCGCGGCTGAAAACAGTCCCCAAAAATAGACTATTTACTCTGGTTTGAGTAAGGTTTCTTAAAAACTAAAGCTCCCAGTTGTTTAGGAAATTATTTAAATTTAGGTGGTGTGTGAAAACGTGAACAGTCCTATCTAGAGCCAGTGTTTAATTGGTCTGTCCTCCCTCAGACTTGGCACAGTGGTGCAGTGGTTAGGGTGGTGCAGCAGTTAGGGCTTCCCCACCACAGGTTCGAACCTGTAAACTAGTAACTAGTAAATGATTTCCAGAATGAAAATCTTCCAGAAGAACTGTAATGAAAACATCCCAAAGATGCTTCCTTTTGTGTGTTTTTGACACATTGGCATTTAAATATTTAAAAAACAAAAATCCACTCTAAATCTGTATTCAGACTGAGGTCTGTAAATCACAAGATGAGTGACAGCCAGGAGAGTAAAGATGAGGAGTGGCTGAGTGCAGCAGATGCACAGTGCTGAGAACAATGATCAGAATGTCAAGTCGCTCCAACCAGTTTGTAAGCTCTGACACTCAAAATGAAAAATCTTATTCTGCAGCATAAAACAGCAAAACATCATCTTATAATGTACGCACATTGCAAACACACCAGCCCTTTCACCTTGTCTGTGTGTGCTACTACGCGCATCCACTAGCAGCCACACTCCTGGGTGCCCTGTGGCTGAGCACGGCGAGGAGAACGAAGCTGCCGTAACGCAGCGTCACCATACTGGATACCTGAACCCATCCTCTCTGGATCCAGCTCTCCTGAAATGAGAGACAAGATGAGTGAAGAGACCTGAGAGAGTGGGCTTCATGTTAGGATCTTCATCAACTCTGAAAAGACATTTGTCATAAATAATAGTTTTCTAATATTAAGTGAAGCTGTTTCTGACTTTAACTCTGAAAATTCTCTGTGAGAACTGGTACAGTGTGGTGTTTGGAGTCATAGCTAAGCCTGTCTTGTTGATCCCGTCAGGATCAGAGGGGATTTAGGGTCGGGGGTGTTAAGGTTATAGGTGAGGGTGGCAGTTCCTACCTGACTCTATCTTGTTGAGGATTTTCCGAGCGCACTGGACAAAGGCCTCTTCAACGTTCTCTCCTGTCAGAGCGCTGGTCTCCAGGAACATCAGTTCTGACACACACACACACACACACACACACACACGCACAGAAAAGAAAAGAAAAGAAAAGAAAAGAAAATTAAGACATGCCAAAAAAAGTGTCTTTTTTTGTAACAACAATAGGTCCATATACTAAGAGAAATAAGTTCCCCAGCTTTTAAAGGGACAGATCACCCTAAAATTAAGGTGACTGTTGAATCTACCATTCTCCTGAGCAAAGCGTGAAGCCTCCAGGAACGTGACCTCTCTGTCAGCGTCCAGGTCCTTCTTGTTTCCACATAGGATGATGACAATGTTTTGACTCGCCAGCATCCTGGCATCACTGAGCCATGTGGTCAGAGCGTTGTATGTCTCTCGACTGCAGTGCACAGACAGGTTGCATTTTAGAGAGGAGAGGGGACTTGACACTGAGGCGATCTGAAATCATGTTCTGTGATTGGCTGATTTACCTGGTGATATCATAGACCAGCAGAGCTCCTGCTGCTCCTCTGTAGTAACTCCTGGTCACAGACCTGACACACAGATAAAGTCCTAGTCAATATGAGCAGGTGGTCAGATATTATGTGGTGAGTTGGTTGCAAGGTGGCTCTCAGATAACAAGTTTCCCTTTAAGTAGAAATGACAGGGGCTATCCTTTGTGTCGCATATTAAATTGAGAAATTCATCTGACTTCATAGTAAAGATTGGGCTGACATCCATTTCTTCAAAATCCTCGGTATATTACTTGGGTTGTGACCTGGATATTCATTCTTATCGGGGGAAGACATGAAGCCCTGAACACAAATACCAAAACTTTTTTGTCACTCCCTTTTTCAGAGCAGATATTTTGCTCATCATGTCAGGAAAAAGCACACGAGGAACAAGTGTCATTAACGATTGCTCTCCTGCAGTCATTACTGTAATGCAATGCAGTAAATTAATGTAATTACTTACACCTGTGTTTGACAAGTGAAACGTGTCACTCAAACTGTTTCTGTTCACCAGCAGTCAAGTGTGGTAAATTAGACTATAATTGTATGGATGTGGTAGAATAGAAATGATGTCTGTGCACAGGGCCCTAAATGTGTTGAGAGCTATGTTGATATTTTTCCCTACCTGAACCTTTCTTGTCCTGCAGTGTCCCAAATCTGCAGTTTGACCATTTTGTTGACCACATTGATGATCTTAGAGCCAAACTCCACTCCAATCGTGTGGTTGGATTCATCCTTAACTGCAAAACAAAATAATACATGGTTTATTATTGAATAACTGCAATACATGGTGATGGCCTACAGTGTATCTTCTCAATAAAGAAAACACACTATACAACTATCATCACCTGGACTCAACACATCTCTAGAGACACATTATTTTCTTTGACCTAAAGCTGATCCAATTTTTCACATTATTATTTTTTACTGTCTGTCAACAGTAAATGACTGACTTACATCGCTTCTCTATGAACTGGTGCAGCAGACAGGATTTTCCTGTTCCAGCATTCCCAATCACCAGGAATTTAAACAGGAAATCTGATGAGAAAAAACAGAAATAATGAGATAATGGTGTATACATACAACATAGCACAAGATCCGTCTTTTTTGTTATAGCAATCATGATTGTCTTACCTAGAGTTAATATAAGCTTATGACAATTATATTGGTATCAACATGTATACCATCTGATATGTATTAAGAAATTGCAGTACAGAAATGTCAAATGTGTTTGTGATAATGTAGTGTCATCATTATACAGTTTGTCTATAAGAGAAGACTTGACAGTTATTTTCATTTGTAAAATGTTCTGCTAAGTACATATCTTCATCAAAATTCTTTAATTGCCACATTTAATTTTTTGAGTTTTTGTTGAATTACAAGTAAATAGCAATGGTTATTACATTTTATTACTCCCAATTACTGATATCTATATTGCCCTGAAAAATCCATATCCATATCATATGAAAGGACTAGTGAACAGGCCTACCAGGCACAAACCCAGGGGCCCCTAGTATAACAGGGGCCCCCAAGCTCTCACTTGCAAAACGTTACTTGAATTAACATGTACTGACCATGATGAGATTCAAAATGACCACAGAGAGATGCAAAGGAACTCCAAAGACAAACAAAACAACTACAAAAAGGCTCAAAACAACCACAAAGGGACCATCAAAAAAGAGACACAAAATGACTACAAAGAGGCACAAAGCCACAAAAAGATGCATTACAAGTACAAAGAGATGTAAAACAACAACACAGCAAGAAGCTGAATAACTATAAAGTATGTGTATCTAGCTCCTGTGAAGGAGAGGTGGGGGGCTTTTTGCATATCTGTGCCCAAGGGGGGCACTGTCTGATAATCCACCCCTGTCATGCCATCCTAAAAAACACTTTAACAGAATATGACAGTGATACACAGCACTTGGCACTCTCATATGTGGATGGTGGTGGGACTGTGTACAGACAGCAGTGTCCCAGCTTCACCTCCAAATCCCTATGTAAAATGGTGAAGCTAGGACATCAGTCCCTTATAAATCATAGCTATCACCTAAACAGGTACCCCCTACTTCCCTTATATTGTGTCTATCACACCGCTCAGAGAGATCTTCACACCAGCTCCATCATCCTCAGCCCTGTCCCTCTGGTGTCAGCTTCCTGTCCGAGGCGCTAACCTCTGTGGGGATTTGTAACCTTACAAACTCGACACATTTCGTCCACACAGCCACTCTAAAATCTGCTGTATACCCTCTGTAGTGTTACTTACGCTGACATAGCATTTTAAAGGCCAGCAGCCTTCGGTTAGCCTGTCAGCTATCTGTTTACGATGAGAAAAAAGCTCTCTCGGCACACCTGCCTCATCCCATCTCTGTGGCTACGTGAAGATGTTAATGGTGGCCACTTGTCAAAACAAACCCCTTACCGTATGACTCCGACATCGCCAGTGTGGCGTTTTGACAGCACAGGGAAGGAAAGGAGAATTGGAAGTTGACAGATGGATAGCTAGCTAAGTAAAGGAAAATAGTCCTCTTGATGGTTTCCGCGGATTCCAGCTGATTTTCCCCTCCGACTTCCCGTACGTTTTTTTTTTTTTTTTTCAAAATAAAAGCCATCCCAACGGACCGAGCGCGAGCGTTGCCAACGAAAGACTCATTTACGTGTAAGTTGTGATAAGCTTAGCCTAAAATAATATTTAAATTACCCACGAATATAAGCCTTGTGTATAAAACTGAAATACCATACACAACTCATAAGAAGTAGCGAGAGAACTGCCAACCTAACGTTACACTCCAGCCCAGAAGGTGGCGGTTATGTACCTTAACGTTCGCCAACCGCCACAAAACCTAACAAGTATTTAAACGAAGGAGGTTTAATAACCAGAATATATCGCATTTATAAATATCCATTCATTTTCTTTTCGTTTTTTTGCTATTTTTGTTGATTAAAGTCATGCTGTCAGTAGGTGGTGCCATGCACCTTTAACGTTTGCTTGTGTTCCGCCAGCAAAACTAAAGACGACGAAGAAGAAAACGAAGAAGTGGCTAGTGAGCTAGCCCAGCGGCAGTAGCTTTATTTAGGGAAATATGGCTGCTGTGCTCCCCATCAGACCGCCCTGCGACAGCAACCCCGCTACTCCAGGAGCACAATCCTTAAAGGTGATCTTTATATTTCACAGACACGAACAACACCAGTAATAATTAACTTTGTTCACTGAGCTTTGCACGGTTGCTTGCTGAGCTAACGGCTAGTTAGCTAGCCAACGGCTACCTGCATCCATGAATGACAACTGATGGCGATGTTAGCATCACCCCATTGTTTTCCAATGGGTGCTAAATGTTTGAGATGGCTTGTATTGTTACGGTCGTTTCTGCAAGTATTTATTAATTATTTGTGTTATTTTATTTTTGACTGACAGTGACGTCATTTTTTCCACAGAAGATTATAGTGTTAATGCTTAATAAACTGCTCTATATGGATAGCCAGATATCACCTCATTTTGCTGTAAAAGGACTAACAACGTTCAGACAGGACTTTAATTTTCAGAAGTGACAACATAACTGTAGTCTAGATAATGTTTTTTTTTTTTTTTGCATTATTAATAAGCATTCTTTCCCCTGTTTGCCCAAACAATAAATCATTTTGGGATATAGTGATTTCTCTGCCCATGGAAATGGTGAACTAGAAATTAGACAAATAATACAGAGTGCCTCCTGGAGAAAGTAGAGATTAACAAAACTATATGCTATAGTTACACTTTTATTCTTTGCTCTCACATCATATAAAAGTCCAGTTTGTAAATGCAGGCATGCTCTGTGGAGTTTGCCAACATCACATTATAGTAATGTTAAATATAAGTCAAAAATTGTGTTTCTATATTCCAATGTAGGAGGATGTTACAGAGGAGGAGTCCAATGATGGCAGCCAACCTCCCAAGAGAAGGAGAATGGGTTCAGGGGACAGCTCTCGAAGCTGCGACACCTCAAGTCAAGACCTTGGGTAAGTTGGCTTGATACTTTGTAAGGAGCAATGAAGTGGCATTGCCAGTCTTAATAACCTAAGAGCTCACAAGATTTTGTTGTTATCATATAATATGTTTTGTGATGAGTTATGTCTTTGTATGGACATGTCGGTGATAAACTTAAGATACATAACTGTAGCCTGTATAGTCTCACATGTTCTCCTTTTACATACATTATTCTAAAATGCGATTTCCTCATTGCATTATGTGTGCTTATGTGTGCGTATGTACTACTTGCTATTCCAGCTGAGAACCTGATTGTCTTGCTCAGCTTCCTAACATCTCTTCAGTGCTCATTAAGTTTTTTTATCCTCACTCTGCTGTTCCACCCACCCCCTTCCAGCCTGACATATTTCCCAGCAGAGAACCTGACAGAGTACAAGTGGCCTGCAGATGACACAGGAGAGTATTACATGCTGCAGGAGCAGGTCAGCGAGTATCTGGGAGTCACATCCTTCAAGAGGAAGTACCCAGGTAAGACTGAAGTAAAAATCGAAACAGTTATACCTGTTTAAGTGTTCAAAAATAAAGTGTTACTATTCTCCTTTTAAAAAATTCTATTGATTCTATAGCACAATACTATTGGTTTGGTAGTGCTCACGTACAAGTATTATTACTGGAATACAGTCACAGTATAAGTATAGGCACTGAGAAAGGATAGACTGGCCTCCCTAGCAGCAGCTATGCATAGTTGTTTGTCTGTTGTCACACTGCTGTAATGACCTTTCTTTGCTCACATTCTGACCTGATGAAGAATGAAGCTGTTCCTTGACCAATGATGTTGTTTTCTTGCTTTGTAGACATGGAGAGGAGAGACTTGTCCCATAAAGAGAAGCTATACCTGCGTGAACAAAATGTCATCACTGAGACACAGTGTACTCTGGGTAGGTACCACACTAAACACCCTCAGACCGGGTAGAATTGTTGATAAATAAACTCCTAACATTCTCTTGACACAGTGGATTTACAGTAGAGCGCAAATAATCTGGAACATGATTTATAAGATTTATTCTGTGAATAATATTTGATTGTGTAAGTCATTGGTGTGCTCAATGTGGTCCAAATGTGCACAGAATATGTCTTTTGTTTGTTTCCAGGTCTGACAGCTCTGCGGAGTGATGAGGTGATAGATCTGATGATAAAGGAGTATCCCACCAAACACTCGGAATATTCAGTCATACTGCAGGAGAGAGAGCGGCAGAGGATAGCTAAGGAATACTCTGTAAGTACACAAACTAAAAGAAATATGCTGGGGTTGATCATTACTGTGGCATTTTATTTTACTGTAATACATTTAATGAAAATCCTCCTACACACGTGTGCATATCTCTTACAGTCTTTGTTGTCTTATAGCAAATGCAGCAGCAGAACCCTCAGAAGGTGGAGGCCAGCAAGGTTCCTGAGTACATTAAAAAGGCGGCTAAAAAAGCTGCAGAGTTCAACATGAACTTCAACAGAGAGCGTATGGAAGAAAGGAGAGCTTACTTTGACCTCCAGACACATGTGAGTCCAACCTGGGAAAACTTAATTAAGCTCAATGAGATTGTACAGAGACGATGAAAAGAGCTTTGTGTAACTTCAGAATTTTTGACATGCATTGTGCTTTGTGTGTTTCCTCAGATTATCCAGGTGCCTCAGGGGAGGTTCAAGGTGCTGGCTCCAGAGCTGACGAGGACGGGGCCCTACCCTGTGGCTCTCATACCAGGACAGTTCCAAGACTACTACAAACGGTACTTCACACACTGAGATAAATGATTTTGCTTACAGTTTGCCTCTTTTGTATTCAAGGCAGCAAACCCCAAAAGTATGTACTTTTTCTTAAGTGAAATTGTGTTTTCTGGATAGGCTCTTAACCTGTATTATATATTTACTATGTTTACATGCACATTGCTATTAAACTATTATTAATATGACAATATTCTGAATTTCATATGAGTCATGTAAACAGCATATTCCATTTGCAAATTAGGCTTTATTCAGGATGTAGCATTTTTCATTTAAGAGAATACGTGTCTTAACAAGGGTTTTTACAGCGGTTTGCGACACACGGCCTGTTCATGGTTAGCTCTGTGTGTTATCATGGATGGGTTGTGCACAAACCAACTAGCCAACTGTTTGTGGGGCTGGGTTAGAGACGCATGCCCAAAAGAAAAGCCCACGTTTCTAGTCGAAAAGAGAAACCCACCTACCTTTTAAACATCATGAAAGACTTGGATATCAGCAGGTTTTTTGAATGCGCAAATATCACGATGCCGATCTTTTCAAGAAGGTCGTTGAAAGAATGAAAGAGGGAGGCTGTTTTAGCACTGTCCATCAAGTGTGCCACTGATGGAAAACTGATAAAATCCAATTTTGACATAAAGAAGCAAAATAGCACAAACAGCCCCAGTTGTTCCACTTTTCCATATTTTGATGCGATAAATGACATGTTAGGGCACATTAATCAGAGTATACATGGCTTCATGTAAACAGGGACATTAGTGGAATATTTGTTTTCATTAGCCATGTAAACAGCTTCGTAGGAATATTGTCTTTGTTGGAATAGGGGCAAAAATCAGACTACTATGTGCATGTAAATGTGTCAGTGCTGTGCTGAATGTTTTGCCCTAAAGCATCATTGTGATGTGCTTGACAGGTACTCCCCCAATGAGCTGCGGTACTTGCCATTGAACACAGCTCTATTTGAGCCTCCACTGGATCCAGAGCTCCCTGCGTTGGACTCAGAACCAGACTCAGACGACGCAGAGGATGGCAAGGAGGACAAAAAGAACAAGAACTCATCTGTAAGACATCAGACCACAGACCATGAACAACTACTATAATGGCCCATCTGTGTCAGATCATACATCCATTCTGGATTAGTTGTACAAATGCTTAATGGTAGAAATCTGAATCATGATGGATTCTAGGTCCCATGTCAGAGTCATTTACCTTTACTAAGCTTGACAAAGATATCTACATGGAAATACGTTCTTGGGCATCACTCTTAGACGCCCCCTAACTCTTCACTCTTCCTCCGTGCTCTTCTTTTCCTCTGAACAGGACAGTTCTTCAGGCAACGCATCAGATGTGGAGAGCCAGGAAGGAGGCGGACACAAGTCCAAGGCCAAAGACAGGACATCCACGCCAGGCAAAGACGGCAACCAGCGCCATTCTGCCTCCCACAAAGCCACCCCAGGGTACAAGGTAGAGGACAAAAGCACCTGAACTCTTCTCCAACAACAGCAGCAGCACTTTTCTACCCCCTCCTCCTCTTTCTACTACTACCACTCCCTTACTCCATCCATCCCGCCACCCCACCCTAGCTTTCTTCACTTTGTTCTCCGGCTTCTACAGTTTGTCAACTTTTCAGCTGGGACAACCTGGCCCACACACACACCCATACACAAACACAAACACACACACTGGGGGTCCTGTCTTCAGTTTTTTGTTTTAATGATTGCCACGTTGCTTGTTTTTCTCTCTCTTCGTACCAGACTATGAGCAATAAGAACATTTTAAAGGAACAGTTCACTTGTTTCTTTTTCACTGCACTTTCACTTTTTGGGTTTTTCAGCGAAGACAAATTTGAACTTTAAAAGTTTTTCCTTTTGAATGTCTTCAATATACCTCTTGTCTGTCCTCACTTGTCAAAAAAAAAGATACTTCCTAGACAAGTAAGTGGATGTTTTGGCTGCTAGTTTTCCTTTTTCATTTTTGAAAAGAAAAGTCTTTTTGTTACTCTGATATAGAACATATAAACCACATGCAATTTGTGGTTGCTTTTAAAAAGTAGTTGATGTTAACACTATAGAATTTTAACATTTATATCTGAAGTGTAGAATGCACTTAACCCTAATGTTTTAAGTGTGTATTGATATTATAATATGCTTTGTTTATACACCATGTGATGTACTGTTAATCTGTTAATACATATAGGACAGCTGTTTGACATGGGGTTTACCTGTCCCTATAATGTCATCTTGGAGAGATGAGGACATTCTGACCTTGTTCACACTGTTGCTGAGCTGAGCTAGAGGTATTCTGTACTCTGTCTGTCTGGGTTTGGACTCCGCTGGACAAGCCCCACATCACCTTAACACCCAGTCATTGCACATCTTTGATAGTCATGTTAAATAAATGCCGTGAGTGTAATCTAAATGTTTAAAGGACTGTAGACGGGGTAAATTCAATTACCTAAGTGCACCACTTGTTCCCTACAGCCCACTGTGCTAGCCAAATTGATTTTCACTTTTCCAACCTTGCAGAAAAACATTCCAGCACCTAGATATGCTGGTATATTACCGCTTGTAACAGTATGATGGACCAGGGCAAGTCCAGTTGAGTTCAGCTCAGCGCTGTGGTGTGGGCACGGTCCTTTTCTAGTGTCTTTTTAAAAACCGTTTCAGTGTGTTTAAGTTTGACTTGTTGACTTATTCATCAGATCATTTTGCATTTGGTTTCAAGCCCACAGACATAGCAGAATTCATTAGCATTAGTCAGTAACATAATGTCCCAGTACTGTATCAGTTTGTGACGGGTACAAAAAGACCTGGAGATGTAACAGCTTTCAGGCATTTCTGTATTTTAAGAAATACAGTATACACAGAAGTCAAGCACGATCCATTATTCTGTAGCTCTGGTAAATTTGCCAAAGTGAAATGCTCGAGAAGATGAAATGTACCAGCCTCCTTTCCAGTGGTAGATTTTTAGTATCTATTTTTCCCCTTTTAAAAAAAATCCCTGTAAATGAAAGGTTAATTGATTTCTAATGACTTGAAAAACTCTCAGTCAGTGATGCCGGCTGATTAACGTTACCTCGCTCTGGTCTGGCTACCATTTACAGTAGTGTTTAACAATGACCTCATGACTGATAGTGTGGTATTTGACAAGCAGCTCCTGAATAAAGACTAATTATGCACAACAACGTTGGAATTAGAGTAATTGCCTCCACAGCAATATTTTGTTGAGAATGTGATACATGTTGCATTTTACATACATGTTATATCTGTACTGCACTGTAAACATGTTAAAGTTCAGGTTAATGATTCCAGGAAATGGATCACTCTGAAACTCAACAGCCTCTCTGCAGCTTATACATATATGAGGCATTGTGGAGATAAAAATATTGCGTTCACTGTGTGACACAGTTGCACACAATAATATTACATAAATCACATTAACATCAGCTGCTGCAGATTATATTTGACTATCAGCTATTTTTTAGTCTCCCTTGATATTGCTCTTAGTCTGTCTGAGGATGTGTGGTGCTGGTCTGATTCTCAGAAGGAGCTCAGAAAGTTTTATTTTGTATGTCAGGCATATGAAGGAATGAGAATGAGGGAATTTTTTTGAGTTATCATTATGAGGTGCAAGGCTGAGTAGAGTTCAGTTTCATTAGACTTTAGACTGAGGCAGATGGGAAGTTGTGAGGCACAGCTAACAGGTTAGCATTACCTTATTCAGTACATTATATAAAAGTACAAACATGATGTTTAAACTATATGATCCACTGATCTAAAGTCTGTGTGGTCAGCCAGTATGAAGTTCCCATTAACTGTGTCTCAGTATGTATGCCTCTGTGTCTGAATTATAGTACTGTTTAGAGCTTTATGACTCCATACAAAAGTTACCAGATTATAATATAAAAGTAAACATGCCTGAAAGTGAATTCTCTGAGTTTTTTTTCTTTTATGTGCATAAAATACAGCATTTCTTGTGTTGACCAAACTCAACTAATTTAGAATAAAACAGGATTCAACCTCATGAACTGCCCATGTTCTATTTTTCTATATTTTGCTTGTAGTGTAAGCATCTCATGTGGCCACGAAAACACTTGTGTAGTTGTAAAGAGTCAGGTCACAATAACTATAATGGTTTCAGTGATGCCGCGAGGCCAAAGGTGTCAGCTGTTGAATTTCAAAGGAGAAATATTGATAGGGTATATATTTAGCATATGCATATTAAGCATGTATGAAATTTAAACAGGGTGCTGCGTCCAGCTCTACCTTTTCCTTATTTCCCTCTCCTGCTGCTGTCTGTCCATTAGTTTAGTTCTCTGCTTTGTTTCTAGTCTTTGATTTTCATCATTACCAAACCATGTCCTTTACTGACCCATAGTGTTGTACCTATGGCTGTTTAGCATTACCTGCTCACTTCTTGCCAGGGGACACTTTAATGAAGGATGTCACTTTCTTCAAAATCAATTTGCATCAGCACATACACATTTTTTTGGTTTAAAAAAAATCTTCACTCTCAAAATGACCACCTGCATATCAGCTACTCACCATGTGTTATGTTGATTTTGTGAAGAAAACTTTGCCTTTTTGGATTCTCTGTTCACTGTGGAGGCATACGAGTAAAACAAAGGTTTATTCATAAATTCAAAGTAATAAGCAGTGAGTAATGAATATACAAATAGGTGTTTTGCAGGTGAAGTATTCCTTGCGCAGCTGTTAACTCCTTTAAAGTCGAGTTACATTGTTTATTTTAGTTAAAGTAAGGCTGTTGCAGTCCAAATATAAAATCTTGTTCAGTCTCCCATGTTTTTTGTGGCTTCCTAAAGAGGTGTTAAACTTTTTAAATGTTTCCCTGTTTACCTGTGTGACATCTGGATTTAAACGTCCCCAAGCCTCCTTATCTTTCTGCTCTGGTTCTTTCCTCGCTGACCCCTTTTAAACCTAAAGGTACGTTGCATAGAAAGCAACTGCAACATCCTTAAAGTCAGCTTCTTGACCACTTGACTACCTTAATCTGCCATAGATGACAGATGCAGCACACATGCAAGAGGATATGATAGACAACATATGCCTCTTTTGTGTTTGCATCCTGATATATATTTGGTGTCCTGCCCAGTAACCTGGGGATGCTCCTGCAACAAAAACTTAACAAAAGAAATACAAAGAACTGGGTTTGTAACATTTAAATCTATCAAACTTAGTTGGACGGCAGCTAAGATGCCACGTGATGCAAATTGTGCTGAAAGTATATAAACCACTCAACTTGTAGTTCATGTATTGTGCCCCCAAAGGTAGAAAAAACCTTTGTTATTCAAGATAAAGTGCTCTTTTTGTTTTTTCTCCAGGCATCAAAAAGTTGTTGAACTACTTTATTGTCCATAACCACAGGATGCGCATGGTTTTTATAGCATTATTCTGCCCTTGCAGCCTAAGGTCATTCCCAATGCTATATGTGGCATTTGCCAGAAGGGTAAAGAGGCCAACAAGAGGGGCAAGCCAGAGGCTCTCATTCACTGCTCCCAATGTGATAACAGCGGTAAGTTCACACTGTTAATTTGAAAGGAACGTTCCTTGTTTACATATATATCTATACATACACTCACACACACATACAACATCAGCCCATTTTTTATGCTCTCCATCATTATCGTAAGCTGTAATTTTAAAACATTTTTCCCTTTGTTTAACATCAGTGGTACATAAAATTAGGAGACTGAATTGATAATCATTTACTAAGGAATCATTTCTGCCATCAGTGAAAGGAAATGTTCACTTGTTTAATACCAGTCAACTTCATTTCATTGTGTAGAATTAAGTTTAATGCTTTCAGGCAAGTGTTAATGCTGCCTTGTTTATATGCTGTAAACATTTACATTAGACAGCAAAGCTTGTGTAGGTTAAAAGTATTGTCTATAATTCACTTCAGATGATTACAAAGACTTTAGTGGTTGTTGGAAAATTAAGAGTTTATTTATATTCATGAGGCGGTTATAACATTAAGAAAAAGGCTTTGCATGGCTTTGTTTTTAGATAGTCCTGATAAAAGTTGATGGGTAGCTATAAATGTATTTCCCCAGCAATACTTTGAAGCTTATGTTGGATAGATGTGAGTAAATGCTAGATGTCTTCTGTTCTGTTTTAAAGGTGAAGTCTTACATGTGTTGAAGTCCTCTGAAGTATCAGGACGGTGTATTCTTGGCCTGTTCACATTATGTCTGTATTTTTCTTTTTGTGTTTGTCTGACTTGCTTCCTTTTCTGTGTCTATGTCCATGCGTTGTGTATTTATGTCTGTATGTGTGTGTGGCTCTGTGTGCATGTGCCTCCATGTCCGTATGCTTTAGGCCACCCGTCCTGTTTGGACATGAGCAAGGAGCTGGTGAGTGTGATCCAGACATACCGCTGGCAGTGTATGGAGTGCAAGACGTGCACCGTGTGTCAGCAGCCCCACCATGAGGACGAGATGATGTTCTGCGACAAATGTGACCGAGGATACCACACGTTCTGCGTGGGCATGGACTCCATACCTACTGGTCAGTGAATGGGCACACACACAAACACAAGCATACAGTATGTGATATGCAATGTTTGGAGGGTTACTTTTAAAATGTATTCTATTACAGATTACTGAATACATGCAGTACAATGTAATGTGTAACGTATTCCATTAGATTACTCAAACTAAGTAGCCTATTCTAAATACTTGGGATTACTTTTGGAATTCTTCAAAATCATATTTCTGGGCTCATTTTGCCTGGGTCTTTAATTGATGACCGCTTGTCTTTAGTGATGACATTTTAAAGCAGAGTGCTGATCCACAACTAAAAAGTCTCATTATTTTCCTGCAAGTGTTTTTCCATCACATAGCAGGGCAGGTAGTTTACCTGTTGGAGGTGAGCTGTTTGCAGAGGTGCAGTGAGAGCCTGTTGTCTACAGCTCTTCATCTAACATCTCACTGTGGCTGTTTCTGCTTGTGTCGTTCCTCCCTGACTTGTTTTTATTGTGGAAAAGTGGCTGACAAAGTTCGACTAATTCAGTGATAAAACACATTTAATTTCTTAAAGCTTCTTCACAGTAAAATTTCACTGTTATTTTGTCATGTAAAAGCTTTAATTGTGAAGCAACAACTCAAGGAAATGTTTGTTTATCATCAGCAGTAAGTTAACAGACTCTTGTACGGCTGAAAGCGAACATTAAATGATAAAATAAGGCAGATATGTAAAGTAAAAACAAGACACAGAAGAGAAACTAAACTCCAAACCACAGAGATCCAGTGAGACGCAACAGAAGTACTGAAGGCTGAACACAGAGACTTTTAAAAACACCTTTCTCTCAGGTTTTTTGCACACACAGATGCGAGTTGAGTCTCGCAACACACATTCTTGTTTAAGGGAGAGAAGAGTGGTCATCAGGGGTTGGCAAGATGTCACTGCTACCTGCTACCCGCTTAAGAGGCGGTAGGACGTGCTTTTGGGCCTGCTCCGGGGAAGGTCCATCTCTGGTGTGGCTCATTGTGGCCCTGTATGTCTTAACTGGTAATGGAAAGACAAAACAGTGTGGCCAAAAGTGGTTATGGAGAAAGGGTAGATAACTCCTAATTTCAACTTCACGAATCAGCTGTTCTTCTTCCTTTGCAGAGCTTTTAAAGCGAGCGACAAATAAATAGAAACAAGGCGTTCGACAAAATTTAAGCTCAAAGTTGCAGTGCTGCGTTGCTTGTGGACAGTTGGAACATTACAATGGGGAAACAATGCAATCAAATTGATGCTCGCTTGCATCGCATTAAGTTAGACACGGTGTTAGTGTTGATAACAAAACAAAGTAATCCCTTCAAGTAATCTCTTTTTAAAGACAGTATTTCTCTTTTTAAAGAGAGTATTCAGAGTACCACCATTTTAAACTGTAACTCTAACTGAACACAGTTTCTCATATTTTGTATTTTAAATACATAATGCCGTTACTTGTTCTCTGTTACTCCCCAGTTCTGATGATATGTGATAACAGATAGCAGACGACAGAAACACAACTGTTTACTTGACTTGAACTACAGTCTTGATTTGCATTTCACGCAGTGACTGGACAACAAACCTGACGAGAGAGAAAAGCAGATTTGTACACACAATTTCTATCACAGTCATTCATCTAGTTTGTCTGCTTTTTAAAAAAATGCACTTTTGTTTGTGTCTTTCATACTAATAAATTCATTCTGTCTCTACAGGTCTTTGGGTATGTGAGGTTTGTGATAAGGATTTCACCACACCCAAGAAGAAGGGAGGAGCCACAACACCGAAGAAGTCCAAGTCAGCTAAAAAATGATCAACAGCATCACTAACCATCATACTTCGACCAAATTCTACTCAAATGCACATTATGTCAATGGTCAATCACTTGAGGAAGCTCTGCATTTTTTTAAAACATCAGATCACTGTGATCCAAAATTAAAAAAGTGAAGCCCTCTCACCAAATACCAACAATCCACACACAAGATCTTAACTTGCTGTCGGTCTGTATCGAGTGACAGGTCTGTAAACACAGGCTAACACTAGACAACAGACATACTTGTCTTTTCTGGAAAAGCTGTGATGACATCAGTAATGCAGGTCTTAAATTTGAATCAAAAAACTTATTTCCATCTCCAAATATATTCTAAATAATGTATGTGATTATACCTCAGATGTACATGCTCATAATAAATAAATAAATAATCCAGACTAGGCATTACCTTTAGCATAGCAACTCTGTTCTGTAATGGTAGAGAGTGACTTAACCTCAGACATCATACAATAATAATGTTAACAGCCAAACTACAGATCAAATCCATCTAAATGTGCTGCACTAAATCCTGTGATCCGTTAACCACTAATAGTATCAGTGAGTTCCTACTTCTTTATACAGATAAATCTTGTCTTACAATTCTGCAGTGGGAAAAATGTTTCAGTTGAACAAATGGTGCTTTTGATCTGGTGCTACTGAAACAATCAAGAGGTCACTGATGTAATTCAGTTACTTTTCCAAACATGTTTTGTATGGTTTTATATTTTTTTCTTTTGTATTCTTAATTAAAATGTATTTAATAAGGCAGGCCAGTAAAGAGCAATCTTATTTAAACAAAGTTTTGTCTTAAATAATGACATGGTGCTTGTGATTCTGTGTAATGACATGTAATAGACACTGGCTGTGGTAGACCTCACGGCTGCAGCTCCTATTTGTGAGATGTGTGAGTCTTGATTATGGAGACAAAGTGTGTCTCTTTATTTTACATGCATTGATTTTGTTTTCAACCCTCCACTATTACTGTACGAAAACATAACCACTCATTGTAATGACATTGAAATTAAACATCCGTCAGCAATGATAGTCAGCTGATAGTCAGCTGATACTTTTGCAGGTGGGTTGAAAGATTTTTTTTTTATTTTGTTGAATTTATTTTGTCTGTTTTGTAATGTCCCTCAATGAGCAGCTTGTTTACGAAACACTTGTTGCTAATAATGTCATTGTCACTGAATTATGAAGTGTTTTTTCAATAAAAGCTACTTAAAAAAGTCATATTTGTGCCTTACCTATGGTGTTGTACCACTGTTTAATTGAATCCCACTTGATACCAAAATATATGATCGCAAAACAATCTGTAGTGCGCTGAAAGGTAAATGTCTACTTTAAAAATTTACATTTAAAAGTTATTTTTATTCTTACATTTTATTTATTGTACAAAGCTTTCAAACTGTCTCATATAGACAGCCCATCACTGCAACAAGATGACCAGCTGCTGTGTTCAAGCCTGTATAGCCTTTGGATGTGTGAGTAAACAATATGCAGGAAACTGTATAATTAGAATTACTAATTTTTTTGCCACCCAATGGTGATTTTAAAGGTCCAGGGTGTAAGATTTAAGGGCATCTATTGACAAAATTGGTATATATGTAACCATGTTTTCATTTATAATCACCTGAAAATAAGAATTACGTTTTTGTTACTGTACAATGAGCTGTTATATCTACACACTGAGCGAGGCCCCTCACCTGGAGTCCACTATGTTGATCTACAGCAGCCCAGCACAAAAAAGCAAACGAAAAGGGGCTCAAGATGGCTCCATTTGTGTTTTTGCGCTTTAGAGTCGGCTACCGCAGTTGTTCTTTTTCACTCTTGACACATGGGAGAAGCTCCAGATTTGCAACCTTCCCGCTAGATGCCATTAAATCCTACAAACTGGACCTTTAAAGTTATGAAGTTTTGATGCATTCAGTTATTGTGCAGATAACTGAATTCATATTAAAGACAAATTGTCATCACATACTATGGATCGTTTGGTTAAATATCTTCCAGTCCAGCAAACTGCACATCTGGGTTATGCTATTATGTGGCATCTTCTTTTGATATATCTTATATTGTCATTTTTAAATGGAAACAAAAAAGAATTGCATATCTCTAAATGGTGAAATGTGAAGGAAAAACGTTTCTCATCTGGGTAAAAATCTTCAGAAAACTGGTCTCTGTCCCTAAAATGGCTCCTGCACTACAGCAAACAGCCTGTGGGGGCGCTCTCGCCCAGATTCCATCTGAACACGCGGGTATGTTGACAGTAAAAGAAGAGGCTGCCATATTGCAGTGAGACAGCGACTTTACAGGATAGAATTTGATTCTTGACCACTGTTTCCTTCCTACAATAAACATGCTGTCCTCTCATACGTTTGGAGACCCGGGCAAAATGAAAGAGTATCATTATACTGGCCCAGTAGAGCACCGGTTCTCACCGTACGCTTTCAACGGAGGGTGAGTGATTTTTCAACCGCTGGCCGGTTAGCTTGCTAGCTAACGTTTACATCCCGGTGGACTGTGCTAACTAGCTAAACAGCTTAGCATGTACCAGCTGAAACTAAACAAAGGTGAAGTTGATGTAAAGTATGTGAACATTGCAGTGCTTCTTTATACAGTATCATAACTTAATTTTAATGCTCAAATTAAGATAAAAGGAAATATAATTCGTGAGGGAAATATTAGCTAATAGCATAGTTTCAGTTTCGAAACAGTAGCATAGCTTCCGTTAGCATGTCTGTGGGACAACAATACATTTTCCTCTTCGATGGGATGGTTTTTAAGATGAATGACCTGGTATATGTTTGTGTTTTGTTGTTTTCTTTGTCAGAACCGTACTAGCTGTCGCTGGAGAAGACTTCGCCATCGTAGCCTCAGACACCAGGCTGAGTGAAGGCTACTCAATCCACAGCCGCGACTCGCCAAAATGCTACAAGCTGTAAGTTTGCACAGTCAGTGTAGCACAGATCTGCAATATAGAGACACAGTGTCAACTTTTAAATCTACAAATGGTCCCTTTAAAAACTACTTTAGTTGTTGTGTACAAAGTCATCAAACTTTATTATCAGATAAACCACTGACGTCACTGCAGCTCAGCTCTGGTACTCTCATAAGATGGGGAGTGCAGATGGTACCTGCTTGGTACTCAGTGACCAGCTACAGTGCCCCTCAGCAAAGCACCAGTTGGTATCTGTGGCTTAGACCACTAATCATTGCCACATGAACGTAGGCCACCTGAGCAATATGCTGCTGTGACTGTCACTGATTTTTGTGTTTCTTCTTCCCCTCACAGGACAGACACAACCGTCATTGGCTGCAGTGGTTTCCATGGAGACTGCTTGACTCTGACTAAAATCATTGATGCCAGACTAAAGGTGGGCTGGGGCAACTGGGTTTTTGGTTTCACTCACTCTTTGGTCTCATCCCTAAGATGATCTAATTGTGCTGTCAACTGTAATGCCTCTGCTTGCACTCCAGTAGCATCTGTTAATCATAATGGTGTTCAAGTCAGAGTTGACATGACACTAATATTGTAATGTATCTTGTTGTCTTCAAGGATGGTGGTTGTATTTTTTCCAAACTGGATGAATAAGAAAATCATCTTTTGAGTTTTACTGAATGTGTCATGGGTTATTTAATTTATACTAACATCTTAACTGATGTTCCTGCCCCTCTCTTAGATGTACAAACATTCAAACAATAAAACAATGACCTGTGGCGCCATCGCAGCCATGTTGTCCACCATCCTGTATGGCAGGAGGTTCTTTCCCTACTATGTCTACAACATCATCGGAGGTCTGGATGAAGAGGGTAGGTACTTAAATGCTGCAGATGTTAAGATATATGCACTTACAGTGCATCGTGTAAGTAAAAAAAGCTCTATATTTCGGCTTTAGTCATCTTTTTTGTATGCAAAGATTGTTGGGTTGTTGCCTATATTGTCTCTTGTATCATTACTTTTTTGTGTAGGCTGGAAATTGTTTAAAGCGTTGACTGTGTAATAACTGTTTTCATTTGCAATATTTCATGTCTGTCATGTAGGCAAGGGAGCAGTGTACAGTTTTGACCCAGTGGGCTCCTACCAGAGAGACACCTACAAGGCCGGAGGGTCAGCAAGTGCCATGCTACAGCCACTGCTGGACAATCAGGTAAATAACACTGACTACATGCTGACCTGTTGTAGCCATAATCCCACTATGTCTATTCTCATCAGGTATGTAAGCAATGAAAACAAGTTTCCTTATAGTGAACAAGGATCATTGATGTGTCTCTCTTTCCAACACGTCCTTCCACAGATTGGTTTCAAGAACATGGAGGGTGTGCAGCACGTTCCCCTGACTCAGGACAAGGCAGTTCAGCTGGTCAAAGATGTCTTCATCTCAGCTGCTGAGAGAGATGTCTACACCGGAGATGCCCTTCGGATCTGCATCATCAACAAGGAGGGCATCAGTGAGCAGACTTTACCATTGAGGAAAGACTGAGGAGGGAAATGTTCTGCTTTCTCTGCTTTTCTCTTTGATCTGTTCTTTCCACATTCACCTGTTGGTTTTGGCCCCTTTACAGTAAGTTTCTTAAAACAGGAGTGTTGATCCAGAAGTTGTTTCTAGGGGCCTTACAGGTCAGGTTCAATCTTGGGAGCAGATTTTCCATTTGATGTCGACACTTTTCTCCTGCTTACCATGGTTATCTCCTGCAGTTTGTGCTACTACTACATCCTTATATTTGTGGTCTAGTAACCTGATTCTAGATCAGCATTCCTGTTGTTGAGAAGCAAGGAACTCTCTTCATTCAGCCTGTCTACACTCTTCCCCTGTTTGGATTTTTCATTATGTCTCGGAAGGATACATAATCTGCTATTATTTTTACATTCTTAATAAATGTAAAGAATTGAAATAGTGGGTTGTCTTGTTCTTCATGTGCATGTCCTTCACACATAGACACTGCATTCTGGGTAGCATATGCAGCTCCCAGTGTTGTCCTGAAACATGTTTTGCATATTAAAGCGTAACTATTCCCATCTTAAAGACAATAATCTTTGTTCAGGACAGCGTTTCCTGACTTTACATAACATGAGCACCCCACCATCACTGTGCTGAAAACTGACACTGATTTGATATACAATAATGTAGGTTAAACATACTGTATCCATATAGTAGGCATTTGTATATTACAATGTGACTGATAGACTCCACATTGAGTTGAACTCTGCCATGTTTAGCTTTTCTAGGTTCTTGATACAATTACTGGTTCACACATCACTGATCTGATTTCGAGCGACACCATTTACAAGTTTTGTCCAAGTGTATAAACATTTCACATTTTTGTAAACTGCAAGTGTCTCAGGTGATTATGACTATTTTAGCAGCCACCAGCTTCATTAAGAGAAGAGTTTGTGCCAAATAGGAAAATAATAGAGTTTCTTATATTAATTTATGCAAAAACAAAGAGTTGTTCAAATGGGAAATGGAAGTACTACATTTTCAACTGCTTATCCAAAGCCGGGTCGCAGGGGCAGCAAATTGAGCAAAGTTTCTAGATGTCCCTCTCCCCAGCAACACTTTCCAGCTCCTTCTGGGGGACCCTGGGGCGTTCCTAGGCCAGACGAGATATGTAATCCCTCCAGTGTGTTCTCAGTCTACCCTGGGCCCTCCTACCAGTGGGACTTGTCCAGAACACACCTAATGGAAGGCGCCCAGGAGGCATCCTGATCAGATGCCTGAACCATGTCAACCTCACCTCCACTTCATTTGTCCATCTTTTAATTTCTTTTTATCAATAAGTTGATCTCTTTTATGTGAAACAAATCTTTAAACCTTCTACTCAGTCTAATACTTTATACTTGTGCTTAACTGTTGGCAAAATGTTGATTAACTTTACTCACTCCAATATATTCCAACAAAAACCTACCTCTGCACGGACCACAGATACCATTGCATTCTGAAATTTGGTTAAAAATCATTTTGAAAAAAACATTAAATGTAAGTGTATGTTACCTGTAGACACCCTGTACATTCGCCCAAAAAAACAAACCTCCACTTCATGAAGTACAGGTTGTTTCACACATCTTTAATTTGGATATTATGGATGGGAAAAGCTCAAATAATGTCTTCTTTCTTTTGTAGTGTTGTAACTATATATTTTTAACCAGATCAGAGGTAATAGAGGTTTATAACAACATTCTGACATTCATCATTCTTTTTTCTCAGTATTATGTTTGTTAGTATTTGGTTTGA